ACCCATGCCTCTGCCGGACACTCCTGGACACTCACAGGCAAGTCTGGGTCAGTCTCTTGTGGGGTCACTGCTCCTTCTCCTGGGTCCTGGTGCACAAAAGGTTTTGTTTGTGCCCTCCAAGAGTCTGTTTCCCCAGTCCTGTGGCAGTTCTGTAATCAAATCCCACTGGCCCTCAAAGTCAAATTCCCTGTGGGTTCTCAGTCTCTTTGCCAGATCCCCAGGAAATCTGTTGTGCTTCCTAGAATTTTTGTAACAGTACAAGAACTTTGGTATAATTATTTTCCAGTTTGCGGGTTATCTGCTCAGTGGCTCTATGATGGGACTAATGGCAACCTCCTCTAAGAGGACATAGGCCACAAACCGTGCCTCCCAGGACTGCAGCAGCCAGAGGTCCTGTCCCTCCGCAGGCCTCTGCTGACCGCCACTGTCAGACACTCAAAGGCAGGTCTGGCTCTGCGTCTCTGGGGTCCCTGGGTCCTGGTGCACACAGGTTTTGTTTGAGCCTTCCGAGCATCTCTGGCAATTATGGGCTTTGAATCTAAATATGATTTCACCCTTCCTACTGTCTTATTGGGATTCTCCTTTGCCCTTGGATGTGGGGTATCTTTTTTTGGTGGGATCCAACATTCTCCTGTCCATGGTTGTACGGCAGTATTATTATTATTGGCATAGCACAACAGATGCAAGACCTGACATAGAAAGAGTTTATTTGGACAGAAACAAACAGGAATACATACCTGGAGAGAAACAGTGTGGACATCCTCCCCAATGAAGAGAAGTGCAGTAAAGAGGTGGTTAAATAATTTATATTGGGACAGTTCCTCTGGGTCTTTGTCCTCATCTGGCCAATTATCTCATTTCTTTTCCCACATCTGTTCTGTCCCAGGGCCCTCTCCTATATCTGTGCACATCTTTTTGCCAAGATGGATTCCAGTGCAGAGGCCTATGGGAGCGTGACAGTACCTATTATGAAACAGCGCCCCCTCCCTTTTTGACCTCTGAGAAGCCTTCCTAAGCATGTGCAGTTGGGGAGGGCTCCTTGACCTCAGGAGTCATAGATGTGGTCATCTTATCTTTTTATTCCAGCAGAGCTCAGCTCCTGCCATTGAATTTATCCTTGAAGTGTCTAGGGAAAACAAAGCTCCAATTTACCCTACTTGACAAACTCCAGCTGTTTGGTCCAGGTCCCATCTATCCTTCCTCATGGCCTCCACCCAGAGAAAACCCGGAGAAAGAGAGAAAGGTTGAGATATCTTGAGAGAAACTTCCCTGGACCTTTGTATTTTGAATTGATTGAATTATTTTCTTTTTTTTTTTAATTTTTATTTTTGACCATGCAGCATGGCATATGAGATCTTACTTCCCCAACCGGGGATGGAACTTGCGGCCCCTGCAATGGAAGCACAGAATCTTAACCACTGGACCATCAGGAAAGCCCTGAATTGATTAGATTCTTAACCCAAATTTGTCAAGTTGAACGAAAGAGCCTGTTTTAAATTGGAAAAGAAGAAATTACTTTTTATTGGCCAATTAAGTTTTGGGGGGACTCACATTAATATTTCATCAATATAATTGATGAAATCAATCATACTTTTTAGAGCTGCATTTTTTTTCCACAACTGAATTGCAGTGTAAAAATTTTGACCTCTCTATAATGATTGCTTTACAAATCCACAAATAGATTTAGAGTCTCTGAATAATCTTCACATACATTATCATTTTGAACTTGATGGAAAATCAAAGTAGATGCTTTATTCCAACTTTACAGATGTAGGAAACAGAGGCTGAGTGATGGTCAGAGCCTTTTTCAAGCTCACCAACCTAGAAGAAGGCTTCTTCCAGGCCCATTTGAAAACAAGCTGCTGAATCTCTGTCTAATATAGTGGTTCTCGGCTGGGGCCATTTCTAAAGACAATTTTGGTTGTCACACTCTACCCAGGGGTAGAGGCCAGGATGCTGGTGAACATACTGTGCTGCAGAGAATAGTAAAGGATGATTTGGCTCCAAACATCTAACCCAAGATGGAGCAACCCTCTTACATATATGTTATGGGAGATTGATTTCAAGGGGGGAAGTTGAATTTCTGCTTTCATACTTGTGAAAGTGGACTAGGAACCCATAGCCAAGGTGATTACTATTTAATAAGGAAGACACAACTGATAAACCTTAATTTCCCCAGAGACATAAGCCCACTGGAGCTTCATTTCTAAAATGTTGTGTTAAATGGATAAGTCAAAGGCTTTGTCAGATCAACAAGAAACTGTGTGCACCCTGGGCAGGCTGGTGCTTGGCGTGTACTCAGAACAGATCATTTTTAACTTCCTTTCCTCTGTACACAATTACTTTCAGTGATAATCAAATTAAAACAAATAATGACAATCAGAAAACTGAATTTTTTATGTCATATACATAGTCATGTCAGTAATAAAAAGATAAATATACATGTAGTGAAAAAGGAAGAGTACTGTATTGATACTTTTAAATTATATGAATGTATTTTCTTTCAAAGGAAAAACTATACCTGTATATTGATATATTGAAATAATGAATAATAATATTACAGATTCTATATTCATGCCTTGAGTTCTATAAATTTGTCAATGATTTAGTTAAAATTAGTCTTCTCTGTCAAATTAGTCTTTGCGTATTCCTATTTGATAGACATTTCAGTCAGATTTGTCAAGCTATCGTCACTCATAGTTGATTAAAGAATTTTTTATTAGTCTTAATTTTGAAATTTTCTTTCACATAAAGAAACAGGTGTACAAGTAGAAATTTTCATACCTACCTAAGAGTAAGTTCGGCTAAGATACAGAAGAATCCCTTTTTCAGTAAGTTCCAGAAATTGCAATACTTTCTGTGTCCTTTTTCTCTTCAGGATTTATTCTAAAAGCTTTCCAAAGTCTCCACAGTTGAAAATTTGCACTAAAATACCTTCGGCAGAAAGTCCACTTAATTTCATTGTATTTGGTTAAATCTTTGAAATTTTTTTCTTCCACAAAAAGAGAAAATGGCTGACTAACAGAACACTGATATTATCATTTAAAAAATCACTTCTGACAATGAAGCCCCTTACTGCCTACACCCTAGCCTGGCCCGTCCCGCCTTCTGGCCCCACCAGCTCTGGGTGAACACTTTCTGGAGGAGGTAAGTCCCATTTTTATATTGTTAGGGAAAGGTCTGTGTGGTCAGTCACATTTCAAGGAATCAGTGTTCCACCACGAGATTTCCCGCCCCCCCTGCCCCCGACTTTTTTTTTCACTCTTGGCATTAAAAATATGCAAATACAGAAACAAATTAAAGAATAAAAATGACACATTAATTAGGGTTAAGTTTGGTTTTCCATCCATAACATACAGTCTCTGCCCTCAAAGATGCTGGAGTCTTTGTGGAGGGGCTGTTTTACGGACTGTAGGTAGTTAGCCATCACAAGAGAGGGCCAGGTGGCGAGCTCGCGTTGGAAATGGGGTGAGGTTCAGGGGAGGGAGTAACTGCGTCCAACCAGGAGATCAGAGTGATGGCTTACGGTGAACGATGCTGGATTCGTGATCTCTGATGTTGGATTCGTGATCTCAGAAGAGGATTTAGCTTCGGGACCAGGGACCAGGCTTGATCAGTCAGGGCTCTCGTGTGGCAAAAGCCTCTCACAGTGAGAAAGGACAGAGGTAACTTCTGACAGAGATCAGAAGGGGGCGGAGAGTGCCCCTTGCTAGTCTTTAGCAAGGGAAGTATGTGCTTTTTAATTAGTTATTACAACAAATCAAAAGAATGTCTCAAGTTTGTGAAAATTTTACCAGACCCACTCCCACAATTTACATTTCAGGACAACAGGATTAGAACTTAGAAAGATAGATCCTACCAGAAAGATCCTCTAAAGACCCACTAGAATGGAAAGATCCTACCAGACCCACTCCCAAAATGTACATTGTGAAATATCCGGATTAGTCAGAAGGCTTTCAGGAAGGAGGAACTGTCCTCAAGCAGGATACATTGTTGTTATATAATCCCTAGTATAGGGTTTAAACTGAGTTGTTTTTTGTGTAATCATCAGTTCCGGGCTTCAAGAAAAACACCGCTTTATGTGACTAATATTAAGGAATGTAGAGGGGGGAAAAAAGGTTTGTCCTTTCCTCCTCCTCGAGAACCGCAGACCCTTCTTTCCACGGGGACTGGGACTTCTTAACAACCTGCCTAAGAACTGACTCTCTGAAGAGATTTCACGGGGAAAGTGGCATTTCAATGTGTCCTGAAGAATGAATAGCATTCGGTAAAGACTCTGCTAAGGCCTAGGAGCCAGGACCTCCGTTTCTCCGCCGTTCTTCCCCTTGGGTCCACATGGAAACGGACCCAAGAGGAGACAGAGTGCTCTCTGGCACAGAGCCTGGCCGGGTGGATGGGGGCATCATCGTAATTGTCCTCAACTGCGTGTGACATTCAGAGTCGCCTTCCCTCTCTCTCGGCCACAGAACGAAAGAGCTTACCCCAGGAGATGTCTCAAAGGCATCCTGTGACCCAAACCTTCCTGGGCCGTCCTGAAAGGGCCTTGGGGTGGCTTTCTGAGCTTGGGAGCCGAGCTTCCTGTCTGCACAGCCGCTGTCTGGCTTCAGAGCACCAGCTGCGGGGTCTAAAGGGCCGCAGAGCGGGGTCGGGGAGTCCGGGCGTTCCTGCTGGGGGGCCTTGAGTCTCTGTCCCGGCTCTCCTGTGGCCGCCCCAGCTGCTCATTCCCGTCCCCTCTGACCCAGCGCACAAGCGGGGAGGAGAGAAGCGGGTAGGAAGGGAGAATCGCCGGAGAGACGGAGCGGGTGGGGAGGGCAAAGGGTCAGCGAGGGAGGGAGGAGGGGCCGCGGGCCGGGGCAGGCGGGGGGCCGTCTCAGGGCGCAGACGCTCAGACCCAAGCTCCCCCGCCCCCATCGCCTTTTAAAACCATGCTTCTTCTATTTCTGAGATTCATCTTCCGTCAAAAGAAAGAAAGGCCCTTTGGTCTTTTCAGGCACCCTTTCATGAGGCTTCTGTGCGTGCCTGCCTGCCTCTGTAGTTCCAGGGAGGCAGCAGGCGGCAGGGCACCAGCAGGAAGGGGGACCCGCGTCCCGCCGGCTGCCGGGGAGGAGGGGTGCGCCCGAGACGGGGAGGGGGCCCTGTGCTGTCTGAGAAGCTCGTCAAAGGGCCCCGTCCGGCCTTCAGCTGTGAGCAGAAAACTTAGGGAGAGGGCAAGCAGGATCGAGGTGGAGAGACGCACGTTAGGAAAGGCAGTCCCATCTCAGAGGAAATCAACGGAGCCTGGTTTCTCGCTCCCAGATCTCAATCGGACCTCAGAGGCGGTGGGTGGGGAGTCCTCACCCCGTCAGAAGCGTCTCTTACAATTGATTCACAGGTCATCAATTACAGCTGAGGAGGTCGGGGTGCGTTCACAGGGCACTGAGGAGAGTCAGGCTGGGCTGGGGTCCGCACACTCACTCCGGGATGCAGCGAGGTCAGTCACTGCGCAGCTCAGGCCACGCTCCTCGCTGGCCTTGGAGCAGGCGTGCTGCCACCAGCCCTGTTTCCTGGGCCCTTCCCGGGGTTGCTGACAGGGCCAGTGAGACGCGGGTGAGGCGTCCTTCTGCGGCGCAGTGGAGTTCAGACACGTCGGGGGCTGCACCCAGGGCAGCGCTGCACACACTCTCCTTCCCCAGTGTGTCTCCCCGTGGGAGGCGTGCAGGAGGAGACCCGCCCTTCTCTCCCCCTGTGTTCTCCCGGTTCTCAAGTCACAGGAGGCTGCCCGGGGAAACGACAGAACTGGAGCAGAAACCTGGCTTCTGGCTGAACCTTGGGAGTCATGCTAGAAGCCACCTACTACCCCGGGACGCTGCACAATTCCCATTTGACTGGGGCCTATGGGTCCACACTGCAGGGCAGAGATCTCTGATTCTTTACCTCCTGGAACTCATTTTCAGGGATGGCTTTAGATTTTCTAGGAAGAGGTAGCCTAGGGGCTGCCATGTTTGGGGAGTGGGGTGCAGCTATGTTAGTAAACCAAGCATTCTGGTTGTACATGCTATTTTGGGGACTCTTTCAGAAATCAGTGCTGATTATGGGGTTCAAAATTCCATGCTGCGCCATTACCAGTTTATACTGAAGTGAAAAAGATGCGACGATGGCTCTGAGGCTGAAAACTCAGCCTCTGTGCACTGGGCTGAATGGAATCTCGGAGACAAGAGTTCAGAGTAAAGTAGAAAAGAGCAGCTTTACCATCTTGCCAGGCAAAGGGGAACCAGCAGGCTTGTGCCCATCAAAAGCTGTGTGCCCCAACCCAGGCGGATTTGGTGAGTGTTACAACAGTGATGCAGGGGCAGGATTTCTGATAAGGATCAAAGTGTGTGCAGGGCCTGCACTTGCTTAACTGGTCTCAGACGGTCTCCTAGTCTTGATGAGCTTCTCTGGTTCTTTAATCTGGAATGAAGAATGCTACCATCTCCCGTTTGTTGGGGGTTTTAGTTCTGTCGGGAGCTCAAAGGCATTGCTCTGTGTATCCCGTGAGGTGGAGTCAGGACCCGGCCGCCAAGCTGCACTGTTGTTTAACTTCCTACTGCTTCCTCCTCTCTGCATCTCCTCCTTTCCCTGATTAGCAGCCGTTGGAATCTGCCCTTTAGAACTCAGGGAAAGTCACGGGGACTGGAGTCTATACCTACAAACAAGAAATGGGGGACACAGAAAGGCTTCTCTGCCCAGGAGCCCCACAGGTCCCTGCTGTGTTTCAGTTTTTAGGGGGCAAGTTTGATGTTTCAGGATGAGCATGACACTGGAAGTTTGCAAACCTAGGGTGGAATCTAGTCTCCATCAGCAAATGTTTGATTTCTCATCTTAAAATCAGGATGAAAGATTCTCCAAGACTCCTTTTTTAAAAAATTATTTATTTGGCTGCATCTGGTCTTAGTTGTAGCAAGTAGGGGATCCCTAACTGTGCTTGTGGGTTCAGTAGTTGCTCCGGGGCGTGTGGGATCTTGGTACCTCAACCAGGGACAGAACCCAAGTTCTCTGCATGGGAAGGCAGATTCTTAACCATTTGACCACCAGGGAAGGCCCTCCAAGATCTCTTTTTGAATCCATTTGCTCTCCTATCATATGTTAGACCTGGGTTCAATCCCTGGGTCGGGAAGATCCCCTGGAGAAGGACATGCCAACCCGCTCCAGTATCCTTGCCTGGAAAATCCCGTGGACAGAGGAGCCTGGAGAGCTACAGACCATGGGGTCACAAAGAGTCGGACACGACTGAATGACTAACACAGAGTATGCTAGAATAGGAATCTTACAAGTACATCTAGCCTAAAGGACAAAAGTGTGAAAAGGCCTCCTTGTTTTTTGTCCTGTGTTGCTCTTGAATTTCAAAGGCCACAATGAGGACTCCAATCCTGGGCTCCTCCTTCCTGGAGTTTCTTATTTACCTCCTGAAAGGTCAAGGAAAGGAGGAGTCAGGAAGAGAGAAGGAACTAATACTTGTTGAATGTCTAATATTTCAAGTTGCTAGGTGCTTTATATATGTTGCTTAATGCAAACAATATTAAGATGGCATTAAATGACTCTGAGGCTCAGAAAAATTAAGTATAGTGTTACTAGCCTAAAAGAGCTTCTCCATCATCAATGCTTAATGCATATTTGTTTATTAAATAAATGGATATCAGAGACAGGGTTTGAACTCAAGGGTAACTCAACTTCAAAGCCTTAGTGTGCTAATCCACAAGCTGCAATTGGAATCAGCTGGGAAATTTTTAAAAATAGTGATGTCTGGGTTCCACTGACCCCAGCAGATACTCCGATAACAACTGGTTTGAAGTTTGGCCTGGGAATCAGGATATGAATATGATTCAGATGAGCAGCAAGGTTTAAGAGCCTCTGTTTTAGGCCAAATGCCCTGCTGACTCAAGGAAGTGGTTTCTCTGGGGTTAAATGTTCCTCCTAGCTCAGGCAGCCGTGGATAAAGTGCGGGCTCACAAGGTATAAACACTCCAGCCCTGCCGGATTGTGTAGGGCAAGGGGGGCGAGGACCGGCACATCTGGATAGCAGAGGGCTCGGGAGCCCAAAAGCCTGGTGCAAAATCCTGGCCTCACTTTTCCTGGGTGTCAGCTCTGCTCCAGAGATCTGGACTTCAGAACTTTTTGAGCCTTAGTTTCTTTCTTTCTTTCTTAATATTTGCTTGTCTTGGCTGTGCCAGGTCTTAGTTGCAGCATGCGGCATCTTCCATCTGTTGTTGCCACTGGAGACTTCAGTTGCGGCTCGTGGGATCTGGCTCCCTGACCAGGGATCAAACCCGGGCTCCCTGCATTGGGAGCTCAGGAGTCTTAGCCACTGGACCACCAGGGAAGTCTGAGCCTTGGTTTCTTTAAATGAAAGGTGAATGGTATCAAGTTAGGATGTTTTATTTGTCACCAAACGAATATACATTCACAGAGATAGACTGACAACATTTTTTGTAACGTTTTCCCTTGGAGCATCTCTTCATCTTTTAAAATACACCTTCACATCCGCAAAATAGAAGTGGCCTCCAGCTTCCCTCCCTTTTTGAAGCTTGCCAAAGTTGCTGGTCAGGGATCCACACCTCTCTCAGGGTGTTCAGAGAATCAGTGCTGGTCAACCAAGGATGCACAGAGGAGACGCAGCTAGGAGAGTTCTCTAGGGAAGCAGGCTGGTCTTCCACACCAGAGGCTGCATGTCTCAGGGGGGTGCAGGCATGTGTTTCTTTACAAATTCCCCAGACGTTCCCTCTCTGCACTGCTGGCTGTGAATCACTGATCACCAGAAGTCACGGAAGTGAAATCTTGGAGCTGTCCTCCTACCAAACCCCGTGGACCAGGCTCTGAATCCATCCACCCATCTCATCCCTAGAGCTTTATTCAGATGGTGGCCACAGCCATGAAATTAAAAGATGCTTACTCCTTGGAAGGAAAGTTATGACCAACCTGGACAGCATATTAAAAAGCAGAGACATTATTTTGTCAACAAAGGTCCATCTAGTCAAAGCTATGGTTTTTCCAGTAGTCATGTATGGATGTGAGATTTGGACTATAAAGAAAGCTGAGTGCCAAAGAATTGATGCTTTTGAACTGTGGTGTTGGAGGAGACTCTTGAGAGTCCCTTGGACTGCAAGGAGATCCAACCAGTCCATCCTGGAGATCAGTCCTGGGTGTTCATTGAAAGGACTGATGTTGAAGCAGAAACTCCAATACTTTGGCCACCTGATGGGAAGAACTGACTCATTTGAAAAGACCCTGATGTTTTGGGAAAGATTGAGGGCAGGAGGAGAAGGGGACGACAGAGGATGAGATGGTTGGATGGCATCACCAACTCAGTGGACATAGGTTTGGGTGGACTCCGAGAGTTGGTGATGGACAGGGAGGCCTGGCATGCTGTGGTTCTTGGGGTTGCAGAGTCAGACACAATTGAGCGACTGAACTGAACTGAACTGAACGTGAGAACCTCCCTCAGCCCTCCACTCTACCTAATTCTTTGCAATCCTTCTTCCATATAGTTGCCAGGATTGTCTTTTCTAAGGAGGAGCCTGCTTGTGTCATTCTCCTGATTAGGATGAAGTCCAAAGGCCTTGGAGTGACGTGCAAGGACTTTCACGGTCTTGCCACACCTCATTTCCCATCACGCTACCCCTCCGACCCTAGGATCCAACAATGCCATCACCCCTAGGAGGGATTTCCTGCTGGCTAAGACAGTAAAGAGTCTGCCTGCAATGAGGGAGACCCGAGTTTGATCCCTGGGTCAGGAAGATCCCCTGGGGAAAAATAATGGCAACTTACTCCAGTATTCTTGCCTGGAAAATCCCACGAGCGGAGGAGCTTGCCAGGTTATAGCCCATGGGGTCGCATAGAGTCGGACATGACTGAACGACTTCACTTTCACTTTCAACACATAAAAATGTTGTTGCTTTACTTCATGTTTGTATTTCTCAGTTTTATGAACCCTCTAATCATCTAGGAGGGTTCTGGTTTCTCTCCCCACTGTGCTGCTACCTGGAATATCCCTGCCCATCGTTCCCTGGCAAACTTGCTTTCCCTCACTCAGTTCAATCATCACCCTCCCTATAGAGCCCTTCCAGGCCTGCAGGCCATCCTGCCCCTGCAACAGAGAGGGAGGGAGGCTTGGGACCACTTCTGTTTGTGGACTTTAAGGTATATTCTAAAAGATGAAGAAGTGCCCAGAGAAAGTTCCAAGAAAAGTTGCCATTCCATCTCTGTGAATGTATATTCATTCGATGACAACTCAAGCATCCTACTTGAGTATTCTAAACCCTTCAAAAATTTAAGAGTTGCCCAAGTGAACTTCCTGCTCCCTACCCCCATCCATCTCACTCCAACACCCTGCTTTGAGCTAGCATAATCGTCGAGCTCAAGGAGCCATGTGTGTGTGCGTGTCTGTGTGTGTGTGCACGCTAAGTCACTTCAGTTGTGTCCAACTCTGTGAGACTACAGACTGTAGCCCACCAGGCTCCTCTGTCCATGGCATTCTCCAGGCAGGAATTTTATTATATATATGTAATAAAAACAAATTCCAAAAAAATTCCAAAAACTTAACATATATATGTGGTTTTGATCAATTGCATAGTGGTAATAAAAGTAAATAAAAGTGGTAATAAAAGTAAATCACACCTAAAGAAATTTTAAACATGGGGGGCTTATTTTCACAGAAAATAAAAATAATCTCAGTCTATAGATATGGTTTTACAGCTGAAAAATATGGAGGATCAATACAAGACTTATAAGCACCCAAATATATACATTAGAAACAAACTCATTGAGGGACAATACCATTAAAGTAATGATTTCAAGGGAAAAAGAAGTGACGTACAAATTCCAGCTGCATTTTTCAAGTGGATCTTGGCAGGCATCCAGTCACTTGGGGTTTTGCACTTCACTGGCTACTTTAGGAAGAGGTATGCTGTGCTTTATTAAAATGCAGAAATTTAGAGCAGCTATTGCTCTATTTGCAACTATTAATACTTGTGATGGGGCTTCCCAGGTGGTGCTAGTGGTAAAGAACCTGCCTGCCAATGCAGGAGACTTAAGAGATGCAGGTTCGATCCCTGGGTCAGGAAGAACCTCTGAAAGAAGGTATGGCAACCCATTCCAATATTCTTGCCTGGAGAATCCCATGGACAGAGGAGCCTGGTGGGCTACAGTCCATAGGTTTGCACAGAGTTGGACATAGCTGAAGTGACATAGCACAGCACGGTACCATACTTGTGATGAGAAATTTTAGATGTTAGCTTTATAACGTGCAATGTGGGTTCATGGTTTACAAATAATTTTAGGGAGTATGTGAGTCAAAAACTGGGAAGATCAGTGCTCTGAGAAACGTTAGGCCTCATTTCTAGGGAAGTATCTGAACGTCTGGGGTGAGGGATGGAGGCAGGGCCAAGGAGCCAGGGAAAGACTCTAGGCTAGGGGCATGAGGCTGCAAAAGCTAACCTGGAGGTAGAGGCCGCTCCTCCTGAGGGAGGCTGAACAGCTGTGGATACTGTTCAATCCAGGAAAAACTGAGGCCACAGCAAGGCAGTGATATTCTGAAGGTCCAGCCCAACAGGCTGGGTCAAAACAGTGTGGGAGGTCTGTCCAGGAGGCAGGTCAACCACAAAGTCCTGTATGTGAGAGGTGACGAGCCTGGGTTCCAAGGAGCCAGCCTCCACTCCCCAGCCTGGGAAGGAGTCTAGCAAAGATGCGAAGACCTCAAGTAAGGACACTCAACTGCAGAAGGTTCTCAACTCAGGGTGGGCTCACTGCTGTAACAGCCACCCCATGATCTCAAAGGTTCAGTCCAGAGCAGGTTTTTTTTGTCCCCCAGGTAACAGTCCAGTGATTCAGAGACTTCAGTCCCTTCCTCCTGGAGTCTGCATCTTCTCGAGGCATCTGCTGGAGCCAGAAGAGAAAGAAGACTGGATGGAGATATTTGTGGGCCAGTTGTGAAGTGATACCTGGCTCACTCCCGCTCATATTCCATGGGCCAGAAGAACCCAGTTGTCTGGACACATGAAGTGCAAGAGGGGCCAGAAATGTGTCTAGAAGAGAAAGCAATGGGGTTTTGTGGCTGCATTGAGTCCTACTGGGACCCGCAGGACCTGCGGGATCCACGTGGTGCACAGGCTTCTCTCTAGCTGTGGCTCGGGCTCTAGGGCATGTGGACTCAGAGCTGTGGCATGTGGGCTTAGCTGCTCTGTGGCGTGGGGCATCTTAGTTCCCCAGCCAGGGTTGAACCCATGTTCCCAGGATTGCAAGGCAGATTCTTAACCACTGGATCGCCAGGGAAACCCTGAGAAAGCAATGGGTTTAGTAAGCTGCTGACGTATTTCTCACTCTCATCATAGACCATGGGGGCCCCAGCCTATCTCTCCATGTGATTAGCAGGAGCTAACAAGGATTGATAGAGGTATACAGATGGATATACGAATGTAGATGTACAGTGTGGAGACTGGGGCAGGCCTGAAGGCGGAAGCGAATGAAAGACCCTTGAGAGCCACTCATGGCTTCTTATCTCTGTGGGCCTGAGCCTGCCCTCACACTGCAAGGGTCAGCCTTTCAGCACCACTTAGTACATTCATTAAAGCAAAGGTCTCCAGGATCTCAACAATATCAGAGGCAACACAGTTGACTTAAAACTTGGTGATGCCTGATGGATTTTACAAGATCAATCTCAGAAACACAGCTAGCCTCATAAAGTGATCACACGCTCTCCCATTTATTCATCCAAAAAAGAGGGATGTCACCAAAACATAGTCAAGTATTTACAAAATAAAAATGCGCCCACTAAAATACACAATGTATAGTCTGACTCCATTGTAGCACATTGCTAGTGAAATCAAATCAAGCAATACTTATTAATAATTGCTATTATTACCACAAAAAGCAAATACTCTTTGAATTCCTGTTATACTCTGGACATTGATCCAAGGGTTTTAAATGCATGTTCTCACTTAATCCTATAACAACCCTATAAGGAGAGTAGTAGTACGTCTGTTTTGCAGATAAAACTCTGGGTGCTTTGGTGAATTTTCTATGGTCACACAGTAAATAACAGAGGGGGGCATTTAAGTCCAGGTTTTCCTGCCCTGGGCTCACCCTCCTAATCACAGCTGTTGCTTTTTGCCTTTGCTGAGGCCCTCGTTTAAGTCACGGAGAAGAGCAGCACAGAACACAAACTCTGGAATCAGACATCCTGTCTGGGTTTAAATTGTGCTTACTTCATTTCCCTGAACCTGTTTCTTTACCTGTAAAACAGGAAAAATATTAGTAGCAATTTCATAGCATAAGAATTAAGTGAGATGTGACAGGTACAAGGCTTAGGACTCAGTAACTTTTGGCTTTTCCTATTGTGCCAGGCTTTGCAGAATGAAAAGTCAGAGACGGGCCTTTGCACCCAAGTCTTCCCTGACTCAAAGCCCAGAGGAGCAGAAGACGCTCACCACTTTCCTCACTTGGGACTTTCTCCTTCAATTGTTCCCTTACCTTTATTACCAAGGGGCCATCTCCCAACCACAAAGGCAAGATTTCCATAATTTCTACCCAGATCCCGGCTAAAGACACCCAAAGAGACTTCTAAGCCAGTGATTTTCAAAGAAGGAATGGAATTGCTGTGCTTTGAAGAGAAAGGGCTCGGGGGCTGATGGTGCATTAACGTTCAAGTATGAGTGGAAAAGCCACCCCAGGGCAGCGTGTGACTGGCCCGGGGACTGAGTGACTGTGAGTGACGGGGGCGTCCAGGCCGCAGGGCTTCTCATCAGTTCCTGCCATCTGAGACTCAAGAGTCTCTCCAGGCGTGGAGAAGCAGTCATTCCGCCTAAGACCTGAAGATGCGAAAACACGGAATCACTTACTCAAAGAGAATCTTAAGGTCATTGTGCCTATTCCTCTAAGGAAGAAGAGACTTAATGGTGAAACAGAGCTAACTCTGAATTGCAACTGCTTAAACTGGAAGGGGCCACCTGGATGGATGTCCCCCAAGCTTGGCCAAAGCTTGGATCTACTAGGGGTGTCGGAATACGAACCACACCCATGCTGGGGTGTCCCCATTTCCCTCCCCACCAGCCATCTGCCCCTTCTTCTGCACAGAACTGTTTTCTGCCTTCTTTGGAGGAACGAATGGTCTGAAATACTGAACTGGAAAAAGTGCTCCAGGCACACATTTGACTCCCCGGGTCCCCATGGCAGTTATTTATTGAGGGAGGAAGATGAGCCAGACTATGCATTTGTTATGTCATTAGTTCTCCCCACAACCCCCAGGGATGGAGGGAGAGTGGAACTTCATCTCACAGAGGAGATTAAAAATGCTCAGTGGCTGTTCAAGGTCACACCCCTGCTAAGTGACAGATCTGAATCACTGGGCTCCTCACTGGAGCCCTCTCTCTTCTGCCAGAGATGCTGAGCTCCTTGGCTGAGGCTGCAGCCCACACGGCAGCAGTGTTCTGAGCTTCCCAGGCGACTCTAACGGGTTGCCTGGGCTGGGAACCACCACACTATCACCTCTCCTGAAGTCAGGGATTTTTATTCCATCTTGCATCACAGATTCCTGTGTGGGGTGGGAAGCCACGGATCCCCTCTACAGAAAAATGTTTAAGTACAAAAAGTTGCATGCAATCCCAGGTAATTACGGAAGTTTTGAAGCTTCTACATGGATTCCCCCAAGGTCATGAACTCAGATGAAGGTCAAGTCTGTAAATCCTTGGGCTCCAGTTACTCGGCCACACATGCAAGTTATCTGGGAGCCTTTAAGCAGTTCAGATTTCCAGGCCCTATCCCAGATGTACTGACTCAGAAATCACTGAGTCTGTAAGTCTAGTAATATGTTTCCAGATGATTCTCATACATATGACCAGAAAACAGCCTTTGCATTGGTTTTAGGGAAACGCCACTCTAAATGAGGCCCATCTAAAGAACCAGGACTCATTTCTGTCACTTCTACCAGCTATGTAACCTCTCCAAGCTTCTATCTTCTCTTCCATAAATGGAGATAACAACTGTCCCTACCTCATGAGGTTAATGTGGGAGTAAATAAAATATTCCTTGCAAGTGTTTAGCACTGGGTCTGACATGTAAGTACCCAATAAATGTTAATTTCTCACTGATTATATAGTATTATTAATTTATCATCTATGTAATTAGTCTATGTCAATGGCTTCTTGGTGATAGAATTGGGAATAGAATCTGATTTCCAGCAGACTGTCAACAAAAATACATGAAAGACAGGAAACAATTTAAGTTTTATTAAACATTAAGAATAACAGACAAAGTTTTGGACTTAACAGCATAAACAGCAACCAAAACCATGGCGTACAAACACCGACCTCAAGTGAACTTGTACCTGTTTAACAGATGAAGTCTTTGTGGTGTTGCCAAAAGGATAACGGTGACCATTGTTACGTTTGGTAAGGTGGTCCACATGAAAGATTTTATGCCTTAACTACTTTCTCTCTCTCTCTCACACACACACACACACACACATTCTCCTCTACATACACTTAGCCCTCAGCAAAATTACTGCCTTTAGTTGCCAAATCCAATGCATCAAGATTAAAGACATGGCTTTGCTCATTTAAAAAATGACATTAATTATAGAGAAAACCTAGAGGAGATCGTAGCCTCCCTAGTGGGGGCCTAGGAGCCCTTAGCTGGAAGCTGGCAGACTGAGAGCAGGTGTCTCCCACCTTCTGGAACTGCTCTGATTAACACTAATTAAGTTTTCCTAAAAGGAACTTTAGGAAGAAGGGAGGCAAACTCCTTTGCATTTTACAGAATGACCTTTGTTTTAATTTGGGATGGGGGTAGGGGTGGGAGTGACTCTACTTAAAATTCTTATCGACGCTTCTGCAAACAGACCCAAGACCTTTCAAACGTACATTTAGAATCGTTGCGAGTTCCCTCCCTCACAAAACCAGTAAGTTGGAAGGAACCTCTGGGCTTTTTAGCACTGTTTCCTCTCCACCCAGTGCTAGAATTCCATCTGCATGCTCATCAAGCAAATGGTCCTTCTTCTTCAAATGATGGTTTCACAGCGGCCTGTCATACATGAAGATGAAAGGCCTGTCACTATCCTGCTCACTGTGGGTTTTGGAATGATCAAAAGCATCCACTTTCTCAAGAGGAGGAAGTGATCACTTACAGCCCTCCCATTCCCTACCTATGTCCTCCAGGTGGCACAAGCAGAACTATAGGCTGACCAATTTTCACCTTTGCAAGTCCAATCGAAAGGATGATGTGACCTTGTCAGGGAGTCCTAGGCCGCTCATTCCAAATCATGTCTATGTGATGTTGGCATAATATGATTTGAATTCATTTTTAATGGCCAAGTAATTAATCTCCGAAAGATGTTTATGATGAAAAGGTGAAAAATGACAACAGGACTCTTTTAATAGCTGCAGTCTGCAGAACTCATCTGACCCTGGATGATCCAAGTCATTCCAAATTGGGCCACGCCTTCTCATGTCATTTAGCAGAACTGCTTTATTTACTAGCTGACTGCCCTGGACAGAAGGCAGTGAGTTCAGGGGTTGAGTGCTTCTGTGTGGTGACAATGACCTACGTATAAGGCACCTATACAGACTCCAAAGCTTTAAAATTTTTAAAACGAGGTAGGTTTCTGAAACCTCCCCTGGCACACCAAAGAATAAGTTTTATTATGATCTTTAAATTTCTTCTGCAGAAAACATCTGTGATGCTCATCGGATACAAACAACCTAATTTCAGAGACTAGTACTCAAATACAGATTTTTTCAGTTACCATTTTAAACTTCAATGAATTTGGATGGTCTTCAGTACAATCCTTCAATACTTCTCCAGTTAAATGATTTTACTTGTTTCTGTGCTAGTGACTACTGAACTATTCTGCTTCAATTAGTCTCTTTACCTATAAAAAGACCAACTCCATGTTTACGTGTGTCTCTGAATACCACTAATTCAGTTCTGCTTAAGTTTGCTAGAGGTTTTGTTTATTAGTTATTTACCTGAACGAGGTTATTTCAATTCCAATATGCATCCATCTCCCATCATAATCTGTAGCTTCAGACAAAATGAGATACCTGTAGGAATATTCCACTCTTCAGATCCCCCAAGACTATGACAGTAAGAGAGAAGCATTGCTAACAGATTGACAAGGAGATCACCATTAAAGAATCATTAAAGGTCATTAAAGAATCGCATACTCTGGACACAGGAAACTAGAAAATCCCACTGATAAAAGGGTATTTTAATCTTGCAGAAAATGTTTCTTTGTAACAACAGCAAAATCTCTTAACACAAGTTAGTGAAACAAAAGAACAATCACCTTTAAAGTCAAGACAGCTATCAAATTATAAATCATACACATAGCACCGATATTAACCTTATACTGTGTAAGATGCACGTGCCCATTGAGGAGAACAGAATTTTGGGGGATGCTTGCAGTGATATTTATTTTCAGGAACTCATAATTTTGAAGTGAACATTTCTGTGGCAGATGCTTTTCCTAAAAATCACTGTATCATCCAATAAATATTTGACTAACATCCATTTTGTGGTTTTGGGTTTTCTTTCTGAGACCTAATAGAAAATAAGAAAACTCCTTAGAAATTTTAGAGCAGAATTCGTCACAGCAAGCTTCGATACTGTTGTAAATTTTTAATTTGAAGCAGAAAACATGCTGATGTGTCAGTGACAAAATTAAAATATTCAAGACTTCAAAAACCCCCAAGCACTTCTCTGTACAACATTGATGAATATATATCTTTGCTATATAATTTTAAAACATGGAATAGTTTTCCTTTTCTCTTTGCTATATATAATATATGTCTTCCAAAATACATCGTCAGTATTTATATCTGAAAAATACTATACAAAAAGAACTTCCTATAATTACTCTGTATAAACATTAAACAATTTAATAATCTCTCCTTTTGGTCTACAGTAAACACTTAAATTGATTGGATTAACCACAGTTTGTGACAACACCATCCCCTTCGGAGATACACCAGTGTCTTTTACATTCATTTTCAGAAGTCCACTTAATAAGAGCACATACGTTCAAAAGAAAACAGAGAATAAGAAACGTAAGCTCCAGAATCATTAATTTATGAAGCATTCAAATATGACACCACTAAGAAAAAGGGGTTTTACAAAACATCAACTTATTAACTTAACTGATTTTTAAAAACAAGGTATAATTCACAAAAATATATACATTACCGAAAAAATGGGGAAAACTGAATCTTAAGTAATTGAATTGTATTGAATATCAAGAGGGATGTGGAAAAAGTTAACTAGAAAATTGGGGGCTGGGGGCATGGGAAAAGAGAGAAAACAAAAGCAAACACATCAATGTCAAAAGCTGTTCCAAGATGCATTTTTTGGCTGTACACTGATAAGTTAACCCCTTGTTCTTAGACCCGGCGTTTCCCTCTGCTTCCTGGTCCTGGGGATGTTCTGGGCATGCTCAAATACATTACTGTAATTTTTGCTTTTTAAAAGACAGTGAAATTCTCAGGTAGGGAAAATCTCCTACTTCCACTAGTAATACTCAGGCAGCATGCTCTAGCGTACAATAGGATTATTGCTTTAGGTACAGACAGTGCAAAAACACACTCTGTGTTCTATGAGAGTACTCTTACTCGCTGGAGTTGGTGGAATTAAAAGGAAACTTAGAGCAGTAAGTAAATATGGGATCTAGTAAATCTAAACAGCACTTTAAATTTGAAGACGATTATCACCAAAACTTAAAAAGTGAGGAAAGCAACCTATAACTGAACGGAGCTGCAGTGTAGTGCTAAATTACTCTGTGCACCTTATTAGCATGGTAACTTACAGATTAAACAGAAACAAGAGCCTGTGGTCTTGAAAAACCGAGATCTACTATTTCAGCAGGGCTCTTCTTAGTGAACCCGAGCAGAAGGTCCTGGAAGAGTGGGTAGGAGCGCATATGAAGCCACACGGAAAGGACGGGAGGGGGGTGAGGTTGGGGGAGAAGGAAACCCGCGCGGTCTCCTCAGTCCAGTAAAAACATGGCACCTTTCGTTTCAAGATGGCGGGCGCAAAAGGACGCATGCGCACATGCGCGCGTTCGCACACACCCGCTGACCACACAGGCGCACACACACACACACACACACACCCCGCTGACCACACAGCAGCACAAGCACATACACTCACACCCCGCTGACCACAAAGGAGCACGAATACACACACACACCTCCCGCTGACCACACAGGAGTACAAGTGCGCACACACACACACACACACACACACACACATCCCAAAACGTGAGTCTGTCGTGTTGCTGCGTCTGGTAAAGTGCTGATGTCAGAAAGGTCGGTCGCTGTGGTGAAGGCCTGTCCGGGCCGCAGCCGCCCGCCGCCGCCCGCCTACAGGGGCCCGTGCCGGGCCTCGTACTTGGCTAGGATGTTCTTGCACTTGCCCAGCTCCTTGCGCAGGTCGGCCACCTCCTGGCGCAGCGCCGAGTTCTCCTTCTCCAGGAAGGACGCGCGGATGGCGATCTGGTTCTCCTTGAGGCGCCGCGCGTCGCGCGAGCGCTTGGCGGCCATGTTGTTCTTCCGGCGCCGCGCCCAGTACTTGTCGTCCTATCGGGAGACACGCGACGCGTCAGAGCACGGCCGTTTGGGCCTCCCTCCCCGGCCCTCCGTCGGCCGTCTCTCCCGCCCGGCAGAGCACAAGCCCGCCAAGTGGGGTGCAGGCCCTGCACCCCAAAGGACAGGCCGAATTCCTTCTCTTTGTTCAACCCCTTCCTTCCCTGGGCGCGCGTGCTTTCCGGGGTAAGCTGCGGTATTGCTGGAAGGCGACCTGGCAATGTCTGTCAAGGGCTGAAGAGCCACCTCACGTCTGGGCTGTCTCCCTAGGGCAGTCCTCACTCACTTGCGCACACAAGGGTGCGTTTTTACTAAAGTGCTGTCCGCAGATGGTGACTGCAGCCATGAAATTAAAAGACGCTTACTCCTTAGAAGGAACGTTATGACCAGCCTAGACAGCATATTAAATAGCAGAGGTATTACTTTGCCAACAAAGGTCCATCTAGTCAAAGCTAGGGCTTCCCTGGTGGCTCAGAGGTTAAAGCGTCTACCTGCAATGCGGGAGAGCCACGTTCGATCCCTGGGTCGGGAAGATCCCCTGGAGAAGGAAATGGCAACCCACTACAGTATTCTTGCCTGGAGAATCCCATGGAGGAAGGAATCTGGTAGGCTACAGTCTACGGGGTCGCAAAGAGTTGGACACGACTGAGCTACTTCACTTTCACTATGTTTTTTCCAGTGGTCATGTATGGATGTGAGAGTTGGGCCATAAAGAAAGCTGAGTGCCAAAGAATTGATGCTTTTGAACTGTGGTGTTGGAGAAGACTCTTGAGAATCCCTTGGACTGCAAGGAGATCCAACCAGTCCATCCTAAAGGAAATCAGTCCTGAGTGTTCATTGGAAGGACTGATGCTGAAGCTGAAACTCCAATACTTTGGCCACCTGATGTGAAGAGCTGACTCATTTGAAAAGACCCTGATGCTGGGAAAGATTGAGGACAAGTGGAGAAGGGGACGACAGAGGATGAGATGGTTGGATGGCATCACAGACTCAATGGACATGGGTTTGGGTAAACTCAGGTAGTTGGTGATGGACAGGGAGGTCTGGCGTGGTGCGATCCATGAGGTCGCCAAGAGTCAGATACGACTGAGCGACTGAACTAAGCTGTCCCTAATAGAAAAAAATGGGCAAACCCCTTCCCTGCCCCCCAGGCCCAGTTATCAGTAGGAGCTTTGATAACTACATCATGATAGAGTCACACAACTACTAAACATAATAATCCCACTGAATCTGAAAGATGCTACAGACATATCACTGTGTAGGTAGAAACAATGGTAATTTGAAGATCAATAGGTTCTCATCCCACTTTGTGTTTTTTTATTTTATTTTTTTAAGTAATAGTATATATTCAGAAACTATAAATCCAGAAAGATTTATACCCAGCTATTAAAAGTGGTGCCTTTGGAAGGGGGATTGAAGGAGGTAGGATTTTTCAGTTTTTATGTCCTTCTGAACTATTAGAATATTCTATAATGGCATGTATACTTTGGCAGTTAAAAACAAACAATAAAGTAAAGTTCCACTTGCCACTGATTAGTCAGTTCTTATTCATGGCTAGCATTTAAATAATTTATTCTAACTTTTTTTGTTTAACTGTTAAACAATTAACCTTCTTAGCCTGAGTGACGTTTGATTGTGGTCAACTTGAAAACAGTCCCTTCTTTCCCCCATCACTGCTCCCTCTGCCAAAAAAAGGAAAACCTTCCTAGAAGCACTAAGAAATGTATGTCTTCTTCCATTTACCGTGCCACCAGGTGGGTTTTGCAACCCCATTTTTTCAACAAATTGCAATAGTAAACTACTCAATCCTCGCAATGCTAATCCCTGCAGTTAGTACCACCCAGAATAAGTGAGTGGGGTCAGTTCTTACCCTGCCCCAGGATTCCAAGGGGCTTTTGGCATTGGAGGAGGTCATGTGGTTTGAGGGCAAGGCTGCAAGCAAGGTGCAAGGTCAGTGGTCTGCCCCATCCTTGCCCTTTAGCCTCAGCCAACACTGCCCAGCAGACAGGAGGTGTGAGACAAAGTCAGTGCAGGCACCTTCTGTCTGCCTTTCACAAGCTAGTACTCTTCTCTTATTTATAAAGCACTCCCAGCCTACTATACATATTATAATAATATATAACAAAGTGAAAAACATGATCTTCATAATGGCTTAAGAATTCTTAGGAGGCTATCCTTTGGAAACCTTGGGGTAGGATTTGTTGCTTGCCCTTGGGAAAGGGGCGTGGGGAGCTGGATGAAGAGGAGAGAGGCCAGGCCAGCTGGCTGGAGAGAAACTGGGAGGAGCTAAGACAGCCTAAGACTCCGTGGGGTGAGAGGGCCTATGGCACGTTAACAGTGAAACCTCCAGTTCTGATAGACGTCATCTATGTTAGTAAGCCCCAGATCCACGCCCTTGGTAAATCAGGAAATCTACCACTCTCATCAGTGTTCCCAGATGTGTGGTTTCCAAGATGATTTGAAAGAGGGACTAACTTAGGATGTATCAGAACTTGCATACGGGGGCCAGGAAGTCGGGGTACATGAGAACAAGGCCCCGGGAAACTGAAGAAGCTTTGTTTTCAGGGAGATGGAGAAGGAGTACCACCACAGGCCTGGGAGGTTTGGGATCAGGTCTTAAGGACCAGGGGAGTCACCAGCTGACCTCAGTGTAACAACCGATTTCTGAGTTCTTCTCACTTCTGAGGTACTGTCACTTCCCAGCCTCCTGTGCACATGCGCAGATGAGCGAGCCAAGGTGTGAAATGTGGACCGTCTCAGGTGGGAGGGGAGCTGGGAGCAGGAGTGGAGCAAGGGACACAGGAGGCGGGAGTGATGGAAGGAGGGCTGTCCCCGACAAGAAAACCAGCCTCCCTGGCTTTTGTTACCTCAGAATGGGGGTGGGCTGCAGAAGTACTGATGGGCTGATACATCACCTGTGCCCTTTCCCTCTATCTCCCAGGGGCGGATGCCATCTGGCTCCCGAGGTACCACCACCTGGCAAAGCACCCTCAGTCCAGTCCCATCTGCTTGAGGGTCTGTGTCTGATGCCACCTCCACTCGGCAGGCCCCTTCTGACCTATCGGCACTCCCTTTTTCTCACTTGGGGTAGGAACAATGTCAGTAGCGGCTCACCTTCGAATCCCCAGGCCCTGACTTGGCAGACACTAGCACTGGAAACATATTTGTCAAGTGAATGAATGGGTCTTTGAAAGACACCAAGGCGATTAAGCTGATTCTCAGCGAGGAACCAGTATGCCACCCCTTCATCTTCCCGGGTCGGGGGGTGGGGGGGAGACGCCTGCTAACCCAGATGAATGGCTCCAGAGAGGAAGTGCAGGCAGTGAGAGCCGCTCCACTCACTCAGTCTGCTCACCCAGCGCTGGAGGCCGTGCACGTGGCTCCCGCCTGCCCCAGCTCAGTCCTCCTGCTGCACAAGAAACGTCTTACGGTTCTGCTTCCTGTTTCACCCGTGCTCGCGGTCTGGGGCCTGAGGCTTTGCTCACAGCTGAAGGAATCCAGGGACCGCTGGCAGGAGAATGTTCTTGCCTGTTCCCCACACTGGCACGTGGAAAGGCCACGTCCAGCTATGGCGGTGGTAACATGTATAATTCCAGCACAGCAATGTTCACGTGGCCTCTCTGTTGCCAGGGTTACCTGGGTAATTAAAGCAGCTTGCTCCTTGCTTTAAACTTGTAAATTCAGAGACTGTGCAAGTCTGGCTACAGGTTTTATCTACTATACAGCAGCACCTCTTCAAACTTGCCTCTACTCAAGAGGAAATCCATGCTGAATGGGCTCCCTGGTTTAGTTTAAGAAGCAAGTTCTAAAGTACACACAGAATTGTGTGACTAACACAAGGTGAGGAAAAGCATCCGTTGAAAGAAGGAACTTAAACTGCCAGGACCTAATCCCATCTTTGTCCATTCCATTCCATCTTTGTCTAACCATCAGTTCCCTGACTAGTTCCTATCTTCTGGTGTGTTCACTATGCATTTTCCTCCTTTGAGTCTCAGGATGACAGTTATTGGAGGTCCATGTTGTAGCCTGCATCAGGGCCAACATGCCGCAGTGACCTTTCTGGAAGCTAGCTGACTTGGGGACCCGGCTGGGTCTTATCCTAACTGCCAGGGCTCACCTTGGCTTTCCTTCATCTCCATCTCCTCAGTGGTGCAATGACCACTTTGCCCTAATGCGCCTCTGAGGTCCCTTTCAGCCCAGACATTTTAGGATTCTGCATCACCGCAGGTGACCTCAGGAGCTGGAGGACAGCAGTGACAGATTTGCAGGCATGTTTTCTTCCAGTGCTCTTTAGGTCTGAAAAGCAGGCATTACTGGTCTAAAGTGGTTCCAGAATAATGTCCCAAACTCCCTATTTTCCCAACAGGAGTTCTCTTCATGTGAACCATGTTTAGGTTTGAGAAGTTAGAAAAGACCTAATTATGCCTGCTTCCAATGCCTTGAATGTATACAATCACATCTCTATTGTTCATATGATTAGAAAGCAGCATAAACACAGACAATTCTAAGCCATGGCTAATCAAAAATGGTTCTATTTTGGTATCAGTAGGCATGGCATAATTTTAGAAAGAATTCTCTTCCTAAGGTATCATAAATGTGTCAGATTAATTTTGTTTAAGTTGTATCTGATTTCCTAAGGTAAATCTATTTTCCTTTATAAATAATGTGTCCCTTCAACAAAGTAGAGAAAAACCAAAATTAACCTTTTGTTGAGATACCCAAGTGATCACTGCATGAGACGCAGAGTCAACATTACTTATGAATAGCGTCAGGAAACCCCCCAGCTTCCTTAACAAAGTCCCACCCTGCCATCCAAGGTTGGCAGTGTGGAGAGAGGTCCTGTCTCTCGCTATTACTCCCTGAGGCCTACACAGAAATGGCAGCAGTTAATTAGCATTAAACTCCCAAAGGAAAGGTAACCCTTGAAGACTCTGAGGTCTAGGTACCCTTCCCAATAATGTTTTTTTCCTTTCCAATCTTGAAAGATCCAGATTTGACTTCATTAGGCTTTCATGGGTTTCTTACAGATAGCAGTGGGCTTGCTTCCTTCATGGGCTGCAAAGCACTTCATTTTATTGCTTTTCCTTATTTCTGTGCATTATCAAGATATGAAAGGCACAGTACAGAAGACACCCAGAGAGGAAGCAACCAGTCTTGTCACATGCTGAAAATGGGGTGGAAAATTACCAGTCTTTGTTTACGAGCTTGTGTGCTTTTCCTGGGCTCACCCTTTCAGTCTGCCTCTTGATCGCCCTCTCTACTTGCCCACAGCCTAGTTATCAGTTCCCGCTTACCTTCAGATCGTCCGGGATGAAGACTTTGCGCGCTTTCTTAATCATGGGCTGTGGCTTCAGTTCCTCCTCGGAGAACTTGCGTTTGCGAGGGTCAAACATCTCCTGACCGGGGATGCTGGAGAGGGCGAGGTCGGCCGGGTCCGGCTCATAGCCCACTGGCACCTGGATGGTGTCGGGGTCGATGGGGCTCGGAGTATTGCGGTTGGCTGGCAGCAGCTGGCCTGGAACAACAGGGAGTTTTCGTTGGTGAGCACGCTATGGAAGCCCAGGAGTGGGCTATCGACTGCCGTCTACTTGATGACTCTCAGGATGAAGTGCAAGGTCTTAAGCTTACTTAAATGTGACCCCAACATCCTCTCTGAGGCACAGCAGGCTGAACACTTTACTCGTGTCAGATAGGGGGAAACAAAGACCCACGTACATATATTCACAAGCTAAATTTAAAAATGCACGCGTTCATCCTTTCCTATAACACAATCCTGAAGCACCAACTGTGTGGCAAGGTACTCTGCTTTTTTTTACCTTTAAGGTTTCTTCCAAGTGAGTCGGGGAATCAGAATAAAACCAGCCAGTGCGACAGAGTGAAGGGGTGAAAGGAAGGCCCACGTGCTTACAGAGAGCGGAGGACCAGCACACAGCAAGATGGGGAGCACTCCGCAGAGAGGAGGCCTCTCTACACACAGAAATGAGCCGCAGAGGTAATCCGGGACAGACCCAAGACAGAGGGTCGGGGTTTGAAGGAACCGCAAGCAGTCTTGGGTGGCTCTGTCGGAGCACGAGTCTGAGAGAGGCAGAAGTGCAAGAGATGTGAGGAAGGTGTGCAGTAGGCATGTTCAAGAGGCCTTGAATGACACTGAGGGGTTCTGAGCACGGAAGCGACAAGCGAGCTGAGGTTTGGAAAGACGTGCGGGGAGTGAGCGGAAGGGGACAGGACTGGGCACGGGTGGTGAGGCAGGACACTGCAGCCTAACCCACACGTGCACTCTGGAAACACCGAACAAGATGGGAAAGACACAGTGGAGATGCTCTAACTTCCCCCTGAGGCATCTGCGCACCAAACCGTCAAAAGGCACAAAGGTCCTCAGAGCAACAAGGTGACAGCGTTCTGCAAAGTGTCTTACTGGGGAACGGGAGCTTGGTAACAGACCGCAGTGTTTATGTGGGGCGCTCTGAATCCTAACTTCCAGTTTCACCTGAATTTTACAGTCACCCCTTTCACGCCCAAAGAACACACGAGAGGACAGGCCTCAGCTGGGCCTGGCCCGGGTCCTCCCCTCCCTTCACTGCTGAAGGCCGGATGTCATGTGGAACATCCTGTAGGTGCCCTCAGAACCTACCCTGGGCTGAAGGGCAAAGCCGTTGGCTCGCTTTCTGGCTAAACTGTGAAACCACACTTGTCTGTTTTTCAGAAAGGCCTGGTGGGGAGCTTGCAGAACGAATGTTCTGGGTGACCTTTTGGTCCTCAGTCTGCTTTGAGCTCTCTTTGTATCCTGCTTGCCAGAGAGGAAGGGATGGGCCCCCAGGCCCTGGCAGAGGATGGAGAGTCTCATTAGCCAAGCTCTGCTTGGTTCCAGCTTCTAGTGGCTGCTGAGATCTGCACTGGATGGTGTCAAGCCAGATTTGATCTTGTGCCTCTCAACACTGACTGAGAAAATGAACCGTGTCTGACTCACACTGGTATTTTACTTTCCCTTTAGGAACTCTCTTTGAACTTAATAATAAAGCTACCCAATTCCGCACCCCACCCCCCCACCATACAAACACACACACACACACAAAGGCATAAATACCCTCTCCTACCATCTAATTGCTCAAAGTTACTGCAAGTACTTATGTTGTATTTAAACATTATAGTCTATTTCTTTATCCATGTTAAGCTTTACCCACACACACACACACACACTCCTCCCCTACCGACCACATGGTCTTTTCATCTTTTCTCTATTTTATCCCCACCCACTTCTCCCAGTGTGCCTACTTCAGAGTTCTGCTTCTACAAAGAAAACTGCTCATTTAATGGGGCCCTCAGAAAATGCTGGGTGCTGACATTCATTCATGGACATTCTAACAATAACACTTCACATGAGGCAGAATCTTTATCTGCATTCTTTTTCTTCAGCCTTTCTTCCAGTGGAAGTAGGTCAGCCCTACCTGAAGCATGGAGAAAACCTAACTGGACCGCAGATGAGTCAATGGCTTTCAGTGGCTTCCCAGCATCGCAGAGCACCCAGCAACGGACCTGAGAAACATCCAGCTCTCCCTTCTCCCAAGATACCCTTGCATCATCTTGTTTGTCTATATTTTCTACTGCATTAACTCTGTTGGACACGTCTGTTTCCTCCTTTATTCCTAAATGTCAACAGTATCCCTGAGTGACAGGGAGAAGGATCTTTATTATTTTATCCTACTTTTTGTGGATTTGCAAAATTTTATTAAGAAGAACTTTCAAGTTAAGAATGAATCATCACATTAATTTTTTAAATTACCATAGATGTTCATTGCAAAATTTCAACAAATGCGGAAATGTGTCTCCCGGCCCCCAATCCATCTCGCTGCTCTTCCCAAAGGATACCTTTAACTGCTTAGTGTGAACTTCTCAATCCTATAGGATTATACTACCCCTAGGTCTTAAATTACTCTTTCTGTATACCAGTATACCATATGCAATTACCCATATTAGTACAAACAGAACTATTCTGTTCTTTTTAAAGGGTGAGTAGTTCCCAAAATTTGGATATATAACAATTTACCTAATCATTTCCCAACTGATGCATTTTTAGGTGTGTGAGTGTTTTTATAGAAGAGATTTCTAAAAGTGAGATTGCTCATACAAAAGGCAAGTATTTTTAAATTTCTAAAAGCATTGCTAAGTCTTATCTATTTATACTTGCACCAACATTTCTGAGAGTACATTTCTGTACAAATTAAGTGATAATTTTTAAAATGATGCCAACCTGATTACACAAATATCACTATTGTTTAATTTACATTTCCTCCTTAGTGAGACTGAACAACTCACGTGTTTATTGGGTATTTATTTCTTCTCCTGTATACTACCCTTTATTTTTTGCTCCTTTTTAAGTGGATTTTGTTGCTTATATTTGTAAGCACTCTTTATAGAAAGAATTTTATATCGACTATGGATATAATCATTTCATCTGTGTTTTCTCTGTAGAAAATATTTTCTCCCAGACTATTTGTTTTCTAAGTTTGCTTAGAGTTTTGCACTATTGGCGAGATCTTGCACTATAATATAGTAAGTATATATTATATATATATAGTATTATATATATATAATATAGTATTATTATATAATATAGTAAGTATATATTATATATAGTAATATATAGTAAGCATATATATATAATATATATATAATATCTTAAAATTTTCTTCTTTATGGCTTCTAATTTCATATCTTCTCTATCCCCAAATCATACTATATGCACACATGCATACATGTGTATATATATATATACACCCACACTATATATATGTGTACATATGTGGGTATATATATACATATACATACTCTATGCCGCTGCTGCTGCTAAGTCACTTCAGTCGTGTCCGACTCTCTGCGACCCCATAGATGGCAGCCCAACAGGCTCCACCGTCCCTGGGATTCTCCAGGCAAGAACACTGGAGTGGGTTGCCATTTCCTTCTCCAATGCGTGAAAGTGAACAGTGGAAGTGAAGTCGCTCAGTCGTGTCCGACTCTTAGCTACCCCATGGACTGCAGCCCACCAGGCTCTTCCGTCCATGGGATTTTCTAGGTAAGAGTATTGGAGTGGGGTGCCATTGCCTTCTCCATATTACTCTATACTTTAATGGAATTATAATTATATTTTAGTATTTTGAGTCACCTATGATTTATTTTTGTATAACATACAAGCAAGGGCCTTTACATAATACTTTCCAAATGGCTTAATATAATGGTATTAGCAAGGTTTGATATTTGAAAGGGCAAGTTCTGCCCTCTTTATTGTTCTTTTTAGAAGATTTTCTTCAGTATTCTTATACTGATAGAAATAGGAATTTCAGGATACATTAAATTATATTTTAAATTATTAATGGGATTTTGAATGAAGATTGAATGAAACCATAGGTTAGTATGGGGACAACTGATATCTTTAAAATATTCAATATATCCTTAGTATACTCTCCATTTTTATTATTTCACCTTTTTCTTATATCTTTAAGGCCACTTTACTCCCTTATTAGTTCTAATAGCTCTAACAGAGTTTTCAAGGTAAATAATCTTTTCTGTCTCTAGAGATAGTTGTTGCCTCAGTGTTTATAATTCCTACTTAAAAAAAAAAAAACAACTCACTGCATTGGCTAGGTTCTTCAAAAAAAAAAAAAATGAGTAAAAGGGATGAGACTTGAGTCTGTCCCAGACTTTAATGAAAATAACTTTCAATGCCTTACATCCTTAAGGTTTGTGCTAGGCCCCTGGTAGATAACCTTTTGACAAGCTAAAACAGTTCCAACCTTCCCAGCCCTACTGCGCTGACAGTTACTGTTGTTTCTTTTTTAATCAGAAATTATGTATGATAATAAATTTCCTCAAAGGCCTTTTCAGTATCTGTTGAGATGATCACGTGTTTTGTTTTTCTTTTCTGTATTTGTTAAGTCTGAGCTTGGTATTTTTCCAAGGCTTTCTGTAAAGGACCTGGGGTGGACAGGATCAACCCCATGGTGTAGACTCTGCAGTTTGCTGGAACATAGTTTTCTTTTTTCTAAAAGCATCTAAGTGAAAGTCATTTCTAGGAGAGCCAAGGAGGATTTCTGGTGGAAAGGGTGGAACAAAGGGCTTAAAATCTGGATGGAGATTAAAAGTTATCTTCAAACCAAAAATTGGCCTCTGCTTTTGTCACAGAGTAGGTATGCCTAAACCTCCAAATAGCATAAATGAAGATAGGATGTTTCTTATTCTTATATACTTAACAAGAATCTAGCAACCTCTTTGACCCCACACAGTTATAATCTGAGTATGAAACAGCACTTTTGACTGTGTTTGCACCTACTGCTTTCAGAGGAAAACCATCATCAGGGCTCACTTCACTGCAAAACACTCTGCTTCTGAGAATCCCTACGTTACAGGGAACCAATTAACTTAGAAGCCTCCAGTAACACTGGAGGGCCCATAATGAGTGGCCACATTAGGTACAGAGATTAAGTAAAGGCCCCACCAGCACATCCTAAGGATAGGGGCTTT